GGTGGGTGAATGAAATGACAATCGCAATTTGGTTTCTTCCTCTTTATTTTTTTTCAATGCGTGTTTTGTGGTGAAGTAGCGTGCAAGAATGAGCAAAAAATTTGGATAAGGAAGTACTGATGGAATTGGACAGAAAATCCAGAAAAAGCATGGTCAATCTCTCCCCATAATTCCCGGACCTGCCACGCACGTCTTGTTTACACCCAAAGCAGTGGCAACATGGGTAAAATAGGTTAAATTGGAGGGCATTTAGTTTTGAAGCTGGCTTTGGAAAAAAAAAAAAATTCAATTTACTAATGGGACACGTGTCGCCATTTTAAGCCTACAAAATGGGACACGTGTCAGCCATAGAAGTGGACTAACTCTCCCATATAAGATATAAGAGAGATGTGTATATATATGTTAATCCGAACTTAATTTATTTGGTACAGAAAGTTAGTAATTTTATTCAAGTCATATTACAAAGTATAATAGCTTGTCATGTAAGATTATGAAACGTGCGAAACTGTCACTTAAGCTCAGCTCGTTCTGAAATTACATATAAAGGGATTATGTATTTCTTTACTTATGCAGCATTTGGCATCTTTATTTTATGCACATGTGTTATAAAGAGATGTTAAACGGTCCTTGGCCCGACGGGCCGGCCCTTTTAGCCCCGAAAAAAAATAGGGTTAGGGCTTTTTATTGGTAGCTCATTTAAATCAGAGTTTTTTAGGCACGGACCGTTTAAACCGAAACCCGTTAGGGCTAGCCGAAACCTGCTAAGGCTGGCCTGTTTAACTTGAGTTGAGCGTTGTAAATGTTTGCAGCATGTAAGTAATATGCTCTTAGATTCATTGTATATTACAATTTTGCTATTCCACTGTAAGTATGAGCTGTAATGAATTATAATAATTTTAAAAGATAATTATTAACAATATTCTTATTGTACTCCACACCAAAATATTTAAGTCAATCAGAACGACTAATAGGAAACATATGAGACAAAGACCTAACACATGAAACATAGTGATAATTTATAATGATATAACATCGTAAAAATTTTCAAAGCGTACAAAATAGTAGTAAAATGATAATTGTAAGTAATAATTTGAATATTTTTTTTTCTTTTGAAAAAAAAATATGTTATTTAAGAGTTTGTAGTGTGTGTTCATATATGATGTGTAGTTGTATATATGGAGCGATAAATACTAAATAGCGTTGAAAACAATCGTTAATTAGTCGTGGTAATTTTTTATAATTTTTTTATTTTTATTTTTGATATTTTTTTATACATATTATTATTATACCCCGCATAGCCCGTTTAGCCCGAAGCCTACTAGGGTTAAGGTTAAGTCTTTTTATTGGTAGCCCGTTTAAATTCGGACTTTTTAGGCCCGAATCGTTTAACTCGAAGCCCGCTAGGGCTAGCCCGAAACCGCTAGAGCTAGCCCGTTTAACATCTCTACTGTTATTAGATGTATTTGGGCCCACAATGGGTATATTATGTAACAAACTTGTGTGGTTATGCAATTATCACTTCCCAAAACTTCAGTCTCTCCTTGTCTCCTATCTCTCTCTTTCTCTAATTTCTCTCTCTATATCTTCTTCCATGAACATTGATACCTAATACATTGCTAAATTACATAAATCCCTCTAAATACTCACAAAAACCATCAAAATACTAAAAAAAAAAAAATCAGCAAGAACACTGATACATGTATATATTACATTGCAAAATTACATAAATCCATCAAAAAAAAAAAAAATATTACTAAAAAAAAAGTCAGCAACAACACTAATATATATATTTATACTGTGTGTTTGTCGAATTGCAGGCGGCACAAATTCATCTAAAGATCACATACAATATAGATTCATTATTTTATAGATCACATACAATATAGATCACTTGCAATGAAAACACATCATTAGTAAAGAAGATGTTGGCTCCCATGCTCGTTATTCATATTAGAAACTTTATGTATTATAAACTTTGTGCTTTAATCTGCTAAATTTGCTATAATATTCTACTGTGGAACTTGCATATTGATATGTTTTGTTATTAAAATGGGAAGTTTTGCTATTCTAAGTGAATAAAATGCTTTGATTTTTTTTTTTTGTTTTTTATAATATCTATATATATTTTTGCTAGTAACATTTTTCGACTTAGATTATCATTGAAAATAACATTTTATGGCTTAGATTAACCATTCAGAATGTACTATAACTTTCTTATAATGTAGGAAATACCTAATCTTCTAACAAATAAAAAATAATGTTGATGTTGTACGGAATACTTGATTAATCTTCTATCAAATAAAATAATTGGTAGGAAATACATAACTATTCTTCTAATAAATAAAAGTGATATGATGAGTAAGTAACATGATTTTAACACATATTATTATATTAAACTAGTGCGCTACTCGTGCGATGTACGGGCTAGTTTTGTAAAGGTAAGCATTTAGATTAGAATAATTGAATTATTTGAATAATGTAAGACTCATTTATTAAAATAAAACAAAACATTATTATATACATTCTTGTACACAATATTTATTTGGTCTTTTGGTACATCGCTTGTCGCATTGCATAGCTAAATATAACAGAGATTGTACAACGTCTTTCTTGATAATCTATAACCTTATTATTTTAACATTGTAAAATACTTAATTTAATGAGGGGAAAATTGTGTAAGCATATGCAATAAATCTCAAATTTGTATTCTAGAGGATTAAAACAAAACACAAATTTTTACGATGTTCCAGTCTGATTTCATTTTGAATTTCAAATTAATGTTATTTAACTCTGTTTTATGTTTAAAAAATCCGAAATAAAGAAATTATTAGCCAAATGATAAGAAAATTTTTAAATTTTAATTTTCAATTTGAAATTGGTCTTGATTTCTATGCATTTCGATTTTTTTGATTAATATGATATGTTGCAATTGGGTAAAGATACATTATATAATATTTTTCCTAATTCGAAATTCTCGATTTTATGGAAAATAATATTTTTTTTATAAAAAATGAGAGAATTTTGACTTTTACAAAATTTCCATGCCTAATTTTACCTCAATTAACTCAATTTCTATGCAATCCGTTTTTTTTTATATAAACAATTGATGTGTTGCAATTAGGAAAAAATATATGTGATAGTATTTTTCCTGATTCAAAATTCTCGATTTTATGGTATTCATTTTTTTTAATAAGAAATGATAAAGAATTTTGATTTTTGCAAAACATCAGTCAAAATTTACCTAAATTAAATTCACAAAACTCATGAATTTAGAATGCATATATATA